ATTGAAATTTTAAATCATTAATCTCCTTTCCTTCAATGACTTTGCACAACCGGTATAAATTTCTGTTTACAGTTCAGAAATATTCTACAGATAGATGCGAGACTCTGAGAGTTGGTAGTTTTGTGGCAGTAGTTTCGGCAAGAGCATGAACTTCCTGACTACTTAATAATCTGTGCCCTGTGGTAGGTAAAACGAAAGAAGGGCGTCGCACGGAGGCAGCAAACGACCGCGGAAGATCAGCGGAGGCGGAAAGAAGACAAGCAAGGCGGAGGAGCCGGTGTAGGCAGCGAGTCTAGCAACGAGAGCGAGGCTGGTTCGGCCAGTGATACAAGCGAACAGTTGGGTTCCATTCAACCTACGTCGAGGGTGCGGCATACCACGGCCAATTCCAACAATTCCTCGGGAAACGGTTAGTTGACGTAGCTTCTTGTAAATGGACTTCCCATCAGGTGAACTAACTATTCACTTGCAGGGTAAGTGATCCGTGTTTCATGTTTACAAATCCTTGTCTCGTATCGTATCACACTTACCCTGTTTTCTTCATTTGAAAATAACTGTTTACTTGATTGCGTTACAATATAATTGTTCAAACATGATGATAAATAAACCATTGATATACATATATCCATGATACATACGAATAACATAAAGAGCTTTTTAACACTGAATTTACGTGATTCGCGTATCAAACGGTGAAATCAGCGTTGGCCAACACCGTTCAAATAGGTCGCATCGTTTGTTCGATAGGAAACAATAAGGAACCCAGGAAACGAGGCAGAAGACCAAAGACTACGAAGGGGAATGAGTTAGGGGGCGAAGATCAGCAACCTCGTCAAAAAAAAGAACGTAGAGACGACAGCGCCAGCGGTGGTAACAACGGACCTGGCGGTAGCGGTGGTAGGGGTGATCCCTTTCGTAGACCTCCGATATCACAACTAAAGAAAACCGGTGATAGTTGGTTGCAAGACGGTGCTTGTTTCGAAGTCGCCCCGAAGTTGGCTAAATGTCGTGAGTGCAGATGGACACCGCACCAGCGCTCCAAAAACCTTCCACAAAATATTTTCTGCAGATTTTATGCATTCCGTAGATTACGGTACACGAAAAATGGACAGTTGGCTATAGCAGGATTTAGCGACCCGCACAAGGATGCTTCTGAGGTAAATATCACACACAGATTGCATGGAAAATATTTTTTCTCACTTTTGTATTGTACTATATTATTCGAAAACAGTATAAAGTAAACGCGAACGTGTTATTATCTTTGCATTACAGGTAGATCTTCGGTTATGGTTACCAGGAAAGGACAGTTCCGACACGAAGAAAGACGAAAAGTCCGACAAAAATGATAAAGACAAAGGGGATAAGGAAGATCTAGATTTGGAAATGGCTCACAGATTACTTCGTCAAGTTGGGGATCAATTTTGTGATCTGTTGCATCAGGAGAAGGATGCTCTCCAACAGCACATGGCAGAAGGTAAATTTTCAATCCGTATTAAGCCAATTTTTGCAATTTTTTAATAAACGGAGGGTACTAGAGTATTTGCATACATTCTCACGCATGCTTTCATGACACCAATGTCAATTTGGTAATGTGTGTTTTACGTGAAGAAGATTCATCATCACACAATACATAAATAATTTCATTCTCCTCGTCTTGTTTCTCCTTTTCTTTTTTTTTTCTTCTGTTCCTTATTTTTCATAAATTTACGTCGAAACTTCCACGAGCATGTAATTATGCGTATATAAAAAAAGCCGCTTCGTAAATTTCCTTTGTTCGCATGATTTAACGCTTTGCGTATCGATTGTTTCTTCACCTTGACAGCAAGTTCGGGACTTGTAGACGGAACAGTAGCTTGGAAGCGAGTGGTCCAGGGTGTCCGAGAGATGTGCGACGTCTGCGAGACGACCTTATTCAATTATCACTGGGCTTGCGGTAAATGCGGCTTCGTTGTGTGCATCGATTGTTACAAGGTAAGAATACTTTCCTTCGGTCTCATAGATTCGTTCATTTTTAACTTAGTAAAATAATACATGATGACAATACTGAATTCGTTGAAAGTTACGTGATATATTTAGAAAATTTCGAGCTTTTTAACACTGACAAATTACGTAGTAAAGTGAAATACTTGGGAAGATTTTCCCGAGCAGACAATTCACCAAAACATGAATATTGTTAGGGGCGCAAGAACGGGACGATCAAGATTTGGGGAGAGAGTGGAAAGGATAGAGACGATTTTTCGTGGCTGTTGTGCACCAACAGACAAGTACACGAACCTGAACGACTTATGCTCACGCAAATTATTGCTGGCGATAGCTTGATACGTCTCGGGCAACGATTACACGAATGCAGGGCAGAATGGGGAATCCCCCAACACTGTGGTTGTTCCCTTGTCGTTCAGACTCCCCCCAATGAATATCTGAGAAACATGATAAAGGGTGATTCGATGCCGGTTCTGAATGGTAACGTAAAACAGGAAGTGAAAGAAGAGAAAAAAGTGAACGAATCAAACGGTTCGTCGGAGAACAAAACTAACGGAGAGGATAAAAATTCTCCGCTAAATTGGCTGGCAGATGTGGCACTGCAAAATCAGGATAAAAACGAAAGTGGTTCTAGTTCAGATTCTGACGAGGATCGAGATGGAAATTATTCGACTCTCAGAGAACTACTCATACGACCGTCCCACAAATCAAACGGCAGTGGCTCCAGGTCAAATTCACCCACGAACAATTCAGGAAATGTTAACGTTACTTCGTCTGGAAACAACGCGCAGAACAATGTAGCGAAGTCTGGAAAGAAGTCTAAAATGGATACCTTGGACGAGGTAATCTCCAGCGTGATCGAGCACAGCGTGAAGAAGGAGAGAGAAGGTGGACTGGTGGACGACGAGAAACCCAGAGAACTGAAACACTTCGTCAGAAGATACAAATGGACGCAAAAAGGAAGGGAACCATTGCCGATCAGGATTATGACGCTGACCGAAAGCAAGAGCCTCTACCCTGACGTGCCGCACTCTTGGCTCTGTGACGGCAAGCTGCTCAGGTTAAACGATCCGAACAGCCCCAACAATTACAGAATATTTCAGGATCAGTGGAAACGAGGACAGCCAGTCATCGTGTCGGATGTCGCGAAATCTTTGGACATGAACCTCTGGCACCCCGACTCGTTCGCCAGAGACTTTGGAGACGAGAAAAACGATCTGATCAATTGCATGACTGGAAATCTGGTACCGAATCAACCCATGCGTAAATTCTGGGAAGGATTCGAGCATTTCTCGAAGAGATTGAAGGATGAGAGGGGGAATCTCCCAACAATTACAGAATATTTCAGGATCAGTGGAAACGAGGACAGCCAGTCATCGTGTCGGATGTTGCGAAATCTTTGGACATGAACCTCTGGCACCCTGACTCGTTCGCCAGAGACTTTGGAGACGAGAAAAACGATCTGATCAATTGCATGACTGGAAATCTGGTACCGAATCAACCTATGCGTAAATTCTGGGAAGGATTCGAGCATTTCTCGAAGAGATTGAAGGATGAGAGGGGGAATCCTATGTTGCTGAAGTTGAAGGATTGGCCACCTGGTGAGGACTTTGCGGAATTATTGCCATCGAGATTCGCGGATTTAATGAAGGTGCTGCCATTATCGGAGTACACGCATAGAAATGGAAGATTGAATCTAGCCAGTCGTCTACCAGACTGCTTCGTGAGACCAGATTTAGGTCCCAAAATGTATAACGCTTATGGTTCTGCTCTCCATCCAAACAAGGGCACGACCAATCTTCACCTAGACATTTCTGATGCAGTTAATGTGATGGTTTACGTAGGAATTCCAAAAGATGCTGACAACGACGAACACGTCAAAGGTATTTATGATCATTCTACTTGTTTCTTAATCTGAGACGTGGATTTGGAATTTAAAGGATTAATCGATATCGTTTACAGAAGCACTAAGGGCGATAGACGAAGCCGGCTGTGATATTCTGACACGACGACGTGTTCGTGAACGAGGAGAAGCCCCAGGCGCGCTGTGGCACATCTATGCAGCTCGAGATGCCGACAAAATTCGGGATCTTTTGAATGCGGTGGCTTTGGAGCGTGGAGCTCGCTTAGAACCTCATCACGATCCAATCCATGATCAGAGCTGTTATCTCGATGGACCTTTGCGAGAGCGGCTGTACCGCGAATACGGTGTCGAAGGGTAAGCATTTGAAGAATTATCGAATTTCTTTTAACCCCTCAGCGACCGATATCGCCGAACGGAAACTGTCATTTGCGGCCCGCAGTAGATAGCTTACCTTACAAGGGAACTTGGGCAATCCGAAAATTCCGATTGTTTTGAAACTTTGTGGGTTTGTAGGGGACGTTAAGAGAAGTATCGGGTAATTTTTTATTTTGGTCCAAATTCGGTTCTTCGGGGTGAAAACAGCCCTTGAATGAAGTGATAAGTGTTACCCTATTTCCCTGTATATCTTTAAAACTGTAGTAGATATAAAAAAATGTTTATAATAAAAATTTAATAGCTTTTTATGCCTTATAAGACTGTGCTACTAAATTAATAAAAATTCTTTTTTTAAATAAAAAATCTTCCACTACCGTTGTGAAAAATTTTGAATTTTCTGTCATATCGAGATATATGTCAAATAAATGCAGATAAATATGTTAATCTTTCGATTCTACCTAACATTGTGTATATGTATATTATACGCATATATCATTCAGTCAGTGACAAACAGTTCCCATTACGATATCGCAGTGCGAATAACTAAATAAATAAACAGATCAACTGCAGAGGCGACCTACTGCATGTAGGGCGACGTGTGAAAAACATAGGGTTCATAAGAATATGGAGGTGGTCGCTGAGGGGTTAAAGCAGTACCATTTTTTCTACTTTGCAGAAGATGGTCATCGTCGATAGATAGATCTAGCGTTAATTCATTTTTCCCATAGGTTTTGCTGGTGCTTTTATGAAAATGAGTATATGTGTTTCTTTCGTGTTACAGATACGCTATCGTACAGTGTCTAGGCGACGCTGTGTTCGTGCCAGCTGGTGCCCCTCATCAAGTCCGTAATCTTCACAATTGTATAAAGGTAGCCGAAGATTTCGTATCTCCAGAGAACGTTTCCCATTGCTTCCACCTGACCCAAGAATTCCGCGCGCTCTCTGACACGCACACGAACCACGAGGACAAGCTGCAGATCAAGAACATAATCTATCACGCCGTGAAGGATTCCCTGACCGTTCTGAGTAACGTGAAGGAAGAGACTCTTGCCAAGCTGAAGGCGAATAACGAGATGAAGAAAGAGGAGACGTAGCCCTAGGCCCCCTGTCGCGCTCGTAAGAGCCGTTGATCGTTGTTTGATTAAAGTCTCTCGCTATAACTAGTGAGTGCAGAAACCTGTTGCCGGCCGGCCCTGTCTCGTCCTCCCGAGTCGGCGTGTACGCGTCTGGATCAGAATCGGGAAGACACAGGAGGATGATTAAATATCTAAGATGCTCCGGAAGCCTGTTTATAATCGAGGTGCAAGAATTTGTTGTGATATTTGACGAGTAACTCAAAAGTTTGATAATTTCTTTCGGGTATTGGCTGAGCCAATGAGATTATTCGTTATTTCATTTTTTCAATTTTTCCTTTTTCACATGTAACGTGTAACATTGTTCTTTCCTTTCTCTTCGAGCAACGTCGTGCTTGGCGGACATGAAATCCGCGAGTGATTTTCTTTTTCCTTTTCATTCAATTGAAAAATAAAAATATGGAATTAGTGGGCGGAACACGTCGTGCTCGCCACACGTCCATTGTCATTGTGATACCATACGAAGGGGGACTTTTTGGATCATACATTATTTGTAATTACTTATATCGTGCCTGTATTCAATACATACTGTCTATATTATATAAATGTAGATAATGGATTACTGCTGTGTAATGAATTCTTACTAGCAACTACGAGAGGATTGTCTAGAGGGTGGTACCTTTGTGCAATTAGATGTCGATTAAAAGAACAAAAAAAAAAAATACACAATTGTTAGCTGGATCAGTGATAATTGTCGATCCGCGTTTACGTGCTCTCGTGATCTGGTGCTTTCCTTTCTTTTTTTTCTGGTTACACAAAAGCGAACGCAAACGCTTTGCCAATAAATGGCCGATATATGTTTCTCGCTACACACGTTTCTTGTGTTCTACTCGCGCGATATAAAGAGCACAAGAAGAAAACACTGCCTAAGCTGTTCGTGTCAGTCCAGTTTACGGATCTTTGCGCGTTTAGTACATTAATAATGTAATATATACGTAATAATAATAATATAATAATAATAATAATAGTTGCAGTTCTACTTTCTCGAGTATACGTTTCGGTTTATCCATTTTCTCCTCTTTGAAAAATATATCGGCTATACCGAGCAAAGTCCGTTCGAAGGTTTGTATGATGATTCTGTCGTCGTTTTAAATAAGACATCAGAAAACAAAAATAACAAGAAATGCTTTTAAAAAAAGAGAGTAAGAGAAGAAAAAACGCGTACCTTTCGATATTATTCTTTACGGGGCTAAAAAATCGATCGAAGAATAAATTGTATTGAATTTAACGTTTTTTATAAAATCGGATTGACATTGTGGCCCAGTGATTAATTATAACTCAGTAAAGAAAATAACGGATAAGAGGGAAAAAAACGAAACAAAAGTAAAGTAAATGGAAAAGAAAAGAAAAAGGTAACGAGAAACTGTTATTTTTGTCAAATCACGCAAACCGTCTAACTCATATAGAGCAGCGATATTCTAATTGATTGTAATTAATATTGATAAAACTATGGGTAACGCATTATTTAAATGTGAGGTAAAGCTGTCAAACGATTTTTGAAGTGCCAATGTTGAACAACGTGGACATTTTCACACGTGTATTTCACGTTGTGTATCGTACGCGTATAGGTAGACAGAAAAAGGCAAAAGAAAAGAAGGAAACAGAAGTAGAAGAAAAAGAAAAAAAACAAAAGGAAGAAAGAACACAGATTAGTCATGCAGAATTCACAGATGAGAGGCCGAGTTCCTATCATTCAACTTTTCTCCCATAGAACGAATCGCTGCTATTCACGGTATGCTGCGCAACGTCTAAATTCTTGAAAGCCATTGCCTCTTCCCTCGCGTTGTTCATTGTGTTCCACGATGAAGATTCTCTCAAGTACACACTCGTGAAACGGAAGAATATCATTGCCCGGTACAACATGTTCACGGTTCGGTCACAGTTTCAAACGATAAAGAAACAGAAAAGGTGAAAAAGGATGGGTGGGGGGGAGAGGAAGGCAGCAGCAGCGTGTTTCGAGGACGGACGCATGTAATTTAACGTCTCGCGCCGTTGGTGTGTGCTTATCGATCGTCAGATGTTCCCTACGGCTGGTAATCTCGAGACCGACGTGTGTGTGGTGTGTGTGTGAGGAACAAGCGAAGAATAAATGGAAATAAAGAAACAAAGCGAATCACTGAAAACCGCAATTTCTTTGATCTCAAACATTCGTCTAGCATACAACGACTTGATTAAAATAATATTTAACGAGTAAATTTTTAAAATATCTCTTAGTGTCGATAAGTAACGTTAATATTACGGAAATTATTAAGGTAACAGACAAGAAAAAAAATAAAAATAAAAAGTACCCTTATTATTCACGAGCGACGATGATGAATGATGGTAAAAAGAAAAAAAAACGATGATGTATAGAGAGTTATAGAGAGAAAGAAAAAAAACAAGCATACTCTGTGTATTATTGCTACAGACAAAGTTATTATTTGTTTTCCCGATACGTGTATGTGTAAATACATTTATACATACATATATGTATACATATACATATATATAAATACGAAGAAACATTAGGATTTAAGGAATACACACTCCACGAAACATGGACAAAACAAGGATACACTTTACACGCGTAGATAGATAGTTTATTATTACCATTATTAATTATTATTAATTATTATTAATTATCATTATTACGATTAATTATTACGAAGAATACCGATATTTAAATGTTGCTGAAACACGCGGCGAGAAGAAGCCACGATTTGCGAGCATCTAGTGTATAAATGAGTGTGTTTCCGAAAGATTGCTTGCGTGTATGTTGTGTTTTTTCGAGTGAATTTCCGGAAGGATGTACGAAAGAATGAGCGAGAGAGAGAGAGAGAGAGAACAAGGGGCCGTGTATTGGGGGCGGAGTGGAATGGATGAGACAATT